GACAGAATGGGCAAGTGCAGATTGTGAAAGATCTTAATTACACAACAAGCTGAATGTGAATCTTTAAACAAAGGCATAAACTTTAAACATGAATTGGTTCAAGAACATTTGATGCCCACAAAAAATGATTACCATTCCACAATTTCACTTTCATAATTGTTAGTTGCACAAGATAATTCTGAAAGCATAAACGCTGTCTAATGGGAAGAAAAATATGTTCCTATTCCAGTTCTGATCATAAGTACCTGGTCAAGTCATTTAGCCTCTCCTTATTTCAGTTTTCCGCCTTTTGGTACAATTATATCCATTTAACTGTCAAGATTCTTGTGAAAAGTATAAGATAGTAGGTCTTACAACTAAGGGACCAATGTAAACCAACTGTAGATGTAGAAATCTGAAAAAACAAACAAACAAACAAGCAAAAAAAACAACAGACCTTGTGCTATAATTTCTAAATTAGAGAAGTTATTACTTTTAAACCTTATTTAAAAAGTGATATTGAAGCTATGTTATAACAATGCACTTTAAAAATATGAATCAGCATGATAATCTAGAAAGATCTGCTAGAACATTTTATACTATTTATTCTCTTTCTCCATCTTTAATGTTATTTATAGTTTTCCAGGTTTTTTAACTAGAAAAAATTAATATATAAATGTAAGGGAATTTATTTCTTAACTTAATCTAAATAGAATTTTGAGCTCTGCCATTTTAATAATTGTGATAAATTATACTTTAATCTTGACATTTTTGTTTTATGTTTAAAGACTCTTTGGAGATTTGTATTGTCAATGCAATCAAAAGCACAACATAAAAATTCAGTATAATCATAATGTTTCTATAGATATTACTACAGAATTTCTTGATCTTAAAAACAGTGTTTCTGTTGTTATTGTTTAAATGTGTTTAATATTTACCAATAGAATTCAAACACTTTTATGATATTTCTTCTTATTGTCACATTTATATAAAACTCAAGGTTGAAATATTTACCCTTGCCTAAATACACAAAGACACTACTTACTAAGAAAAAGAGCTACAATGGGGGAGGAAGAGCATTAGGAAAAATACCTATTGCCTGTGGGGCTTAAAATCTAGATGACTGGTTGATAGATGCAGCAAACCACCATGGCACATGTATACCTGGGTAACAGACCTGCATGTTCTGCACATGTATCCCAGAACTTAAAGAAGAAGAAGAAGAAAAAGAGCTACAAAAGCATAGGAACAACAGTTCTCAAACATGGATACTCATTCTTAACATATCTGAATAACCTAACAACTTCTGCATAATTAACATGTAATTTTTGAGCACAGAATTCACTTTAGTATAATAATTCAGATTCTGTGCATGTTCCTAAAGAAAAAAGACACTTGGTACTATGACCATAAAGGAGTGGTTGAACAGTGGTGCCATGTACTTCTGTAAGTCAGGCCAAAAAATTTGGTTCCTAGCATCTGTCAGAATACTCACCGAAAGCCCAGAATAAAATTTCTTAAACTGTTTTTCTTCTAAACAATGTATTTAATTACTTAATCACATAAACATCTTCAACCAGTGAAAAACAACAGCCTAAAAAAAGACTAGTTCCAGAACATTGAAATTTCAGTGCAAAATTGTCACTGTTGCCATTTAGGTGCTACATCTGCATGTTCAGATCCTTATTGAATAGGCCTAACCATTTGGTACAGAATCAAGCACTAAATTTACCCATATATTTAAATGTGCTGGACTTACATTTCATTTTTATAGGGAATTAGATATAATATCTGATTCCTTGACTTGAATTGCTTCTAGGTTAGGAATCAAAAACTCAAACTTCAATATGGCCCAGATTATGACACTGAAGTGTGAAATGGGCATATGGTAGGAGTGATAAATTTGAAATCACAGGCTAACTTTAAAGACACAGCAGATATTCAATGCCAGTCAATTATTTTCATGCAAATGTGTGGGCCCATTTTCTAGATTTTCTAACTTGTGGAGAAAAGTTCTGGATTTTAATGTGTAATGTATTTTATATGTATTTATTTTTAATTTTAAAATTTTTATTGATACATATTAGTTGTATATGTTTGTGGATAAAGATGGTATTTTGATACCTGCATACAAAGTATAATGATCATGAGGACAATTGCAATATCCATCACCTCAAACATTTATCTTTTCTTTGTGTTGGGAACAACTAATTCTGTATTTTAAAGACCCATGTGATCTAAACAAAAAATGCTAAATTACTGATGACCCAAAGAAGACCTGTGAGGGATAGTTTTGGAGTCTTAAACTCTAGCTACCAAAACTGTTGACATTATTAAATATCCCTGATTTACCATTTTGAAATTGAAAAAAATACCGTCTTAATTGTAGTATATAAATACTTGATTATTTTTGTATCATATACATTCTGTAAATTTACCTCCCCAGAGGAAGGCATACTATGAGAATACATACTGCAGACACCATGATAAAAATAACAGAGCACTTTCAAGTATGGTTATTTTGACCTTCAGTTTGTTTTCAGGTACCTAGTAAAGAATTTTGGCCAATATATGTTGTAAAATATATAGGGTATTACCATTTATATTTTAATTCAGATAATATCAAGGACAACTGCCACTTACTATATTATCTCTACTTAGTACAGACAGCCTTATCAATTAACAGTTTAAGTAAAAAGATGCTCTAGTATAAATTAGACAATAAATATTCATAGACACTAATATGTTATGTAGAGTATTTGAGAACAAAAACCAAAAATTTTCCTACAAGGAGCTTACAAGTTTAATCTATAATTAAAAATGTGACCACCAGGACAGAATTATACAGTAAGTTATATTGAACAAAAATAGATTTTAAAAATAGCATACATACACATCTCTACATAGCTGGAGGTTTATTACAATGGAGAACAATAAAGAAATCAAAAATTACATATCTATATATGCATATTAATAGAGTGATTAGTTATATAATTCAGACTATCAGAAATTTTGCTTCCACACTGAACCCTTCCCTCAACTTAATCTCTCACTTTACATGGCTTTATTTTTCCTTCTGCTTCCAGAAATATGTGAAGAGGGGCCTCCTAGCTTTAAGACATACCTCAGACTTGTTGGTCCTTCCAATTCTAATTTTACTTACTACCTTTTACAATAAAGTTTATCAAAAATCAGATTTTTCTTGGCTGCCTGAATTTTTAAAGTGCCATTCATCTTTAGTGGTGAAAGATCTCTGAAATGTGATTTGCAGCTAAGGAATGTGGCTCCCGGCCAGAATCAAAGTACAATCTTTCTGGCCTGAGCATAGGCCGTTACAAAGGCTTTGCCTGGCAAACCTCATCACATTGTATTTGGTGGGAGAAAGGTGCGCTGGTCACACTGTATTTGGTGCAGTTTGGAGGAACTGAATGCAGTACTCAGGCCCTCTGGCCAGCCATGCTCTTGTGCGTATCTGCATTGAAGCCCAGGCAACTTCATTCAGGGGCCTCCTTTTACGGGGGCCTTAGGTGCCTTTTCTGGGACCACCTTATTTGAGGGACTTGGAGACCACTTTTCTCAACTATGACTGAGTATTCAGTACTTTTCTACTGCTAGCCATTTCCTTTTCCCTCCCACTGACTCTTGTCAGAAAAAAACCCTTAGGAACCTTTTGTTCAGAAGTTCCTGAGTAATGAGACAGTGCTTCACTTCTGCAGTGATACTTCTGACCCTTGCTCAGTGCCATTCTGTGAGGAAAATGGAGCATTGATGGAACAGCACCTTCTCTGTGGTCTCTTGATTATACAATAGCAGTAAATGAATAAAGGCTTAATTATTACTTCCATTTTGGCTTGCTGTTTAATTGGCCACTGTGACATCTGGCAGCTCAGCTCTCTCCAGCCCAGCTCTTAACAATAGCTTTCCATGCTGTAATGGAAATAGCCCCTAAAAGTCATGCAACTACTGATGTTCAAACCCAGTACATTGCTTGCTTATTATTATCACTCTGATTCATGTGAGATGCTTGACAATCACGTCTTCTCATCCCCCAAAAGTCTACAATTGGATCTTCTCATGACTAAAGAAAGGACATGATGACTAGAGTCAGACTGTTTTGAATTTTGAATTTGCTTTTTATTTCATATAAGAATGTCACCGGCCGGGTGCGGTGGCTCACGCCTGTAATCTCAGCACCTTGGGAGGCTGAGGCGGGTGGATCACAAGGTCAGGTGTTTGAGACCAGCCTGATCAACATGGTGAAACCTTGTATCTACTAAAAATACAAAAATTAGCCAGGTGTGGTGGCATGTGCCTGTAATCACAGCTGCTTGGGAGGCTGAGGCAGGAGAATCACTTGAACCTGGGAGGCAAGGGTTGCAGTGAGCCGAGATTGCGCCGCTGCACTCCAGCCTA